CTATCTATCTATCTATCTATCTATCTATCTATCTATCTATCTATCTATCTATCTATCTATCTATCTATCTATCTATCTATCTATCTATCTAGTAGTACTTAAATATTTCTAAAAGTATAGTATACTTATAGAAATAGTTTTTGATTATCTACCACATAAAAACATCTGTATATTTTCTTTTGATCTTACAAAATGGCTCGTGCCATTAAAACATATTTTCACAAGTTAGTTTTCATTATATTTGTCTATCCGTGCAATATAACCGGTTATTATTATTATAATCGTTGTTGTTGCTGTTGTTTTGTTATTGTTGGTAAAATTAGATTATATTGTTACCCATAAATGGGCAATAAATCACCACAAATCATGCTTGAAAAAATATTAATAATACTAAATTGAAAATATTTAGATTTCACTACTTTACCTTAAATAATTACGATTACCGTCTATAATAATGATCAGTAGTAGTAGTAATATTACGTTTTTAATTATTTAACTTTACTAATATCATAATGTAATTATTAACTAATATTGTTTTAAGGTAATAGTTTTGTTATTTTTAGCAATATTTTAAGTAATAATAATAATAATAATAATAATAATAATAATAATACTACGGATTGTAAACTTAATTATTCCGTGTGGAAAAAATCACATATTATATCTTATTTTAAACATATGCATTTTTGAAATAATTAATGAACAATTGAGCGGGAGGATGCAGATTTTAGCAAAGTCTTGCTGTTAAACTAATTATTTAATTTAAGGCGTTTACCTTTAAATACGACAACAGGACGACAAGAGTGAACACAGCGACTACTTGGGTGTGCAAGCAGTAATCCAGCAGCCACAGGCTTTTTCATTCCTCCCCGCAGAGCTGCAGGTTCATGAAGCAGCTTCTACACTGAGACTGTAAAAAGGTGTGAAATTATTCCTCTGGACTCTTAAAATGTTGCTACAGTTTGTTCCCAGTGCAGGCTCATTAGGGAGGGGGTGTTACAAAAAGCAGAGGGGTGATGTAGAACAGTGTCGCCACCCTCTGGTGATTCGTGGGGATTGCAGCGTTGGGGAGCAGCACTGCGCAGGCGTTGTTATTTTAATGCTGAATCCGATAGAATGCAGCAGATTAAGGAAAGGAGGATGTCACGGAGGTGACGTTTCGTTTATGTTGGGTATGATTTGGAGAAATGCTCCGGTGTTGCAACATACTCGTGTTTATAGACACAAGTCTCACTGCTGTGTCTGAAACTAGCTGTTCACTTTATTGCTACCTTTTCCTTTAGGAAGGCCCGGCAAAGGAGCAAGGGGCGGAAGGTTCCCAGGTAGAAACAAAGGATCCCTCCAAATGACCGTGAGTCCTGCGCGTCCCCGTCGAGGAGAATCCAATAAAACTGATCATTTCCGCTCGGGCCTTTTGTCCAGACCGCAGTCTCACAGAAAGAGAAGAAAAAAACAAATGGGTGCCATTCTGGAAGCGGCCTAATTGTGTCTGGACGGCCATAAAGCCATTAAAACTGGAATGCCAGACAGTATAGCAGACCAGGCGTTTTATTGCACTGTCTCTGGCCGAGTCTTTGAAGTTTGGGTCCATCTGCGCCCCCCCCCCAACGCGTCACAACAGCACTCCAGTTGTGGACTAAAGGACGACTTAGCCTCCAAGCAGCATAATCGATAGTTTCTGTACAGCCCCTTAATGAAAGCTGAATTACCTGCTCCTCCTGTCTTTGATCGATCAGGACACCATGCAACTGTAGCTCAGATCGGATTTGCTGGTCTCTTTGTGTCAAATATTTTCTCCAGCATGCAGAGACTTGAACCAGTCTTAACACTAAAATGAAGGGGCCATATTTTAAACTAGACCTACACCATTACTCCAAAGCCAGTTGGACAGTTTGACCTCAAAATGTGTGTGTGTGTGTGTGTGTGTGTGTGTGTGTGTGTGTGTGTGTGTGTGTGTGTGTGTGTGTGTGTGTGTGTGTTTAAACAAATTCCTAAATTTCCAAAATACATTTAAAAAGATGCGGGGTTTTTCCTCTTCTTGTAAATTGTTTAGCGCCGTCTGTGATGGCTCATGACAGATTAGCCTAAGCGCCCTTGTCAAATCTGAGCTGAGGAGAAACACATCGGCTGTATTATTTCGGGCTTCAGCAGTCGAAGCCCACGGTGTCTTTTTTGTTTTGTGTCCTCTCGCCTCGCAGCGCTTTGCACCCCATAAAAGGTTATAGCGGTAATTGTCTTTTATGGCTGTATACAGCTAACAACATCCTCTGCCAAGATGCAGCTATGTCCCCAACACACACACACACACAGTGTTCTAGGTGTGTTAGGTTTCACTGGTGTGTGTGTGGGTACACACTCTTTTTTTTGGGTGGGGGGGGGGAATTGTTTTTTGTTTTTTTGCTTTTTACAAATTAAAAATATTTAAGCAAACAAAAAAGCTCATTTTCACTAAGTATACAATCATCCAAATATAACTGATTATCATTACTCTATTTTTTGTTTCTGTATTTTCACGTGTCATAATTTTTGGCAGCGCAAACCAGCGCCAGCTCAGGCTTTTTTGTTTGTTTGTTTTTGCGTACCAAGAATTCAGAATTTCAAATATTATGAAAGCATGAAATGCAGACTGGCGTGGGGGTGCAGTGAGATATGAATGTAAGATACTTGTAGTCGCAGATATAATTTGTTTTATTCAATAAATAAAGTACAAATTACATTTGTGAACCAAAAGTCAGACGGTCAGCACGACCGCGAGGTATTAAAAATGAGTAGCTAGCCTACAGTGTTTTCTTCCATTTGCACTCACTAACAAATATTACGCTCTTTGAAAATGACTCCCTGAAATTCAGTCACACGAATCCAGTAATGCAAACAAATCTATTACAATCCACCACTGCAAAACAAAGGTCAATGTAGGTATGTAGGTAGTTGAAAGACATAGGTAGTCAATCATGTTATGTAATACAACTTCTAGCCTATCATATATATACTGAAATTTTGTAAGAGTTCTCAGGAGGTTCCTTGTATTTATGCGCCTATTTTACTCTGTTTTTTCCCTACAGTTTCTAACGTTAGATTCAAATTCAGTCAAAGGCTTATCCTAATAGTAAGAGAGAAACAACAATAAAATACTTTTTTTTTTACAAACTATACGCTCAGTTGGCTCTGAGACAGACAACAAATATAGCTACAATCCGGAACACAGAGAGCTAGAAACAGTCGTACACAAACAAGCACAGGGGCAAGGCCAACTAATACACTTTAACGAGGTATTAATTCAAAGCAGCACGAGAAAAGAACAAGTTAAAAAAAAACGAGGGTGAACTGTTAAAACTGTGCAATATAATGGTAGTTGCAAAGAACTAAAGCCCAACATGCTGTTTTTTTTTGTTTGTTTGTTTGTTTGTTTGTTTTTTACAAGACAAATAACCCTATAGCTGTTATTAAGAACAATATGACAATGTTGTTTAAAAACAGGGTCCAGCAGAGTTAAGAGCTCTTACACATCAAGCTCGCTATCAGTCTAATGCTGCTTTTGTCTAAGGTTCAGTCACTCGTCTTTCGGTGCGCCGTCTTTATTGAACTTCTTCATCTTCATCCTGCGGTTCTGAAACCAAATTTTAACCTGTCTTTCGGTGAGGTTTAGCAGCCTCGCCACCTCGTACCTACGGTCTCTGGTCAGGTAGGTGTTAAAGAGGAACTCTTTCTCCAGCTCCAGGATCTGGTGCTTGGTGTACGGACAGCGCTTTTTTCTTGTGGCACTCGCGTGGAGCCAGTTGGACACTGGGTTATCTGAAAAGAGTGGGGTGCGACACTGGTGTGAGGTCCTGAACTTCTGACTAACCATATATATATATATATATATATACAAATAAAGTAAAAGCGGATGTGCGCCTCTAAATTCTGCTATATCCACAGCTCTACAGCTCCCCGTCCATGTTTTTTCCCTTCTGCCTCCCTCGCTGCTCACGCTCACTTTAAAGGCTGCAAGAGGTTATCTAATACAGCAATGTGAGCTGGGCTATTAACAGCCCCCCATAAGGAAATGGCACGTTCAGAATGGCATCTGTTAGGACGCGCACCCCCATAAGGCACCCCAATCCTCACAGCTTCATGTTGTGCAAATGACATAAAAGACTCTGCTTTGACTTACTTGGATCCAGGCCCGGTTTCTCTTCCCCCTCTCCGCTCAAATCCCCTGCCTGGACGGAGAGTTCGTCCTTTTTCACCGGTGATGCTGACGCCACGGTGCCATTGGCGTATTCAGAGAGCAGCAGAGCCGTGTGGGATCCGGGCAGCCCTCCTTCAGCCCGCGCCCCCAGTCCCTCCGGTTTGATCCCGTAGTGATGGGTCGTCGGTAATCCGGTCAACGGCAGGGAACCGGACATGGGCTCCAGAAGCCAGGATTGATACCGGCCATCTGTATCTCCACCTACTGGGCCTTGGGGATGCCCGTAGTGGGGATGATACACAGAGGAGACGGTGGCTGGAAACTGAGCCGGGACGTGGCTCCAAGACGGCCCGAATACCTGGGGCTTGGATGGGAAGGTGCAACTCCCGACCTCGCTGTGGTCGCTGATGGAGGCATGCTGCCTGGCGTGCTGGAGCCCAGGACCGGAGGTGTACCTCGACACAGAGAGCTCCTCGCTCTCGGGGAGAATGAGGGAATCGACGTAGTAACTAGTGAGCGTTCCAGATGTCGACATGGCAGAAAAATTACACTTTCACATGTACACAGTCATACAGCGGATGCATGCAAAAGCGAAACGCGCACACACACCACACACACACACATACACACGCAGTAAACCCAGCCTCACAAAATAACAATGTGGAGAAATCAAGTAGCAACTTCGCTCCACGGAGAACTACAGTGGGAAAGTAATGGGGAGACAGGCTGCCATGCCATTGGGTAGCAGACACACGTGATCATAAGGCTGAACAATAAAGGATAAATCAATCCCTACGGTCATTAAATACTCACCCTCTCTCCTATAACAACTTCGACTTTTTAAGAATTATCAAGATTTGAGCAGGAACCACTATGCGAGATGAAAAATATGAATGAATAAAATAAATGACACCGGGCTCCTTCTTATTGGCACTTGCTGCCGTTCCAATCCCCTCTCGGTTATCCAAAACGATACAAAATGTATTTGGAAGCCTTCTTTTACGAGACATTTTATAGGACACGTAAGCACCCTACGATCGCTGCTCACCAAAACGCATTTTAAACAGCACCACATCACAGAAACTTTGCAGCTCAATGATCTGAATAAGACTATCTAGTGAATTATGAATCGTTTTTTATAACACTTTATAACAGTTTTTCTCCCCTCACAGGCCATACGCTTTCGTCTGCAGGTTTTTCTTTGCTACAGCTTAAAGCATTAAATACATATCATAGGCGCAAAAAGCTAGCCAATAATGAAACATACTTAAGTCTATTATGAGGATGAGTAGTTTTCAGTTAAACGTTGTATTCCTATGTGAGTTAAACCTTAAGCGCAGGCTACATGGAGAATTCTCGTATAGGGTTATTTTTCTACCACAATCAAGCTTCCTGCCTACGTCAGGTCACTGTACACGCTGGAACTAAGTCTCTGGCGCCTAATTAACCTCATTACAATACACGAAGTTTCCATGAAATTAACGCTTCTGCAGGAGTTTGTGTATTTTTTCTCAACAAAGCTATAGTGTTAAATTAACTATGTAAAACTACATCAATAAACGTGTCGTTATTTCTAGAGAATTGAAAGAATGTTTTGTTTTTCAATTTTTTTTTGTAAATTACTTTTTTTTTTAAAAGAATAATAACAGGGTTTCTTATTTGAGCATTTTTAGTGGATTTATCAGTTACGCTGAAATAGAATTTAATAATATATTAATTTAATAATATATAAATAATAGATATATTTGTTTCTTGACAAATATAAACATATCGTGCCGTGAAGCAGGCCTAGTGTGTGTGTGTGTGTGTGTGTGTGTGTGTGTGTGTGTGTGTGTGTGTG